AGTTCCGCTGATGTGCTATTTTGTTATGTGCATGTTTGGTCCCAGAGTAATAGAAACTGAAGTTGAGGCTGCAGGCTTAACTCATTGGAGAGGTATTGATCCCTTCACTTGCTACCACAAAGAGCACAAACTTATCTGTCATCCTTATTCAAGGCTTTACCACCACTTTTGAAAATTTTCTCTTATTGTGTTGTTGAAATCCTTGGCTCCTCTTAAAGCAATATCAAGCAGGTACCAGGGAGCATCATAATCATCTAAGGAGTCAAGTGCAGATAGTATTCTGAGACAGATCCTAGAGGCAGAACCTGTTGCTTTCATACACAGGGTACTCCTGCTTCTGCTATGGAACCAGACCTTTCCAAAAAGATAGGAAAGCAACCTGGTTGAAGACCTTTTAAAGAAAAGGAAGAAATATGACTACTGTTTAGAAAAGCTCTCAGCACACTCCATAGTGGAAACAAAATTAACCCAGGAGATTTGGCTGGCACTACAATCAGGAGTGTCCTCTCCATCCATAAATTCATGGAGGTGTGGCAATAACTTGCCTTACAGAATGTTTGCTTCTCCTATATGTCTCTCTCCCTCGAGTCCAGAACACTTCCTCAGATCTCAGACAACAGTGATGCATATTAGGTCCATACCAGGTTGCGTTGGGTGCCACCCTGAATTGTCCAATCAGAGATTGGTTACATCCATCTCTGATTTCTTTAAGAGGGATATTCTCCAAGAATATCTGGAAGCCCAAGTAGAAGCAACGAGACTTAGGCATAGGAGTTCTTTTCTAACACAGGCTACACCCATCCTAGTACCAGTAGCATTCTAATATTATAAAAGCCTTTGTCTATCTGTCTGTCCATAATGTTTTATTTGCACTCTGATTAGTTGTCTGAAACAACCAATCAGAGTGCTGCAAGAGCATTCCAGACAGGAGGCAGTGGCGGCAGTGCAGCAGAGTGCCGCCATGATGGCGGGGACAAAGCTGTCCTGCTCCTTGCAGGCAGCGACAGCACAGGGTGCTGGCTGAGGGGGATGGAGAGGCAAGCTTTTCCCCTCCACCCTGCTCTTGGGAAACAGCGGCAGTGCAGGGTGGTGGGTGGCAGCATTCCTGATGGGCCATTGGCTAGCAAACAATATAACCCTCGCCTTTTGGTAGCAGTGCCCAAGCATGAACAACATACTTCTAGCAGTTCTAGTACCGGGCAGCTCTTTTAACACTGATGTCACTGATCTGGCAGTAATAAACATATTAATCCCTGCACCACATTTCCACCAAGTACCAGGAAGAAGGGGAGTGGGTGGTGATGATCTAATCAAAGGGTCAAAGGTCTACTCAGTCTACTCCCACAAAGGGGTCTGCAGGGTTAATGCCTTAAGAGAAAAGATGTCTTCTTTAGGATGTCTATGCATGTATATTGCCAGCTATTTGTGGTGAGGCATCACATGACTTTGGGGGCATGTATAAGAATCAGCTAGCAAAAGGCTTTGCTGCAGAAGGCAGTCTTACAATAAAACATGTTTTATATGTCATGATACTTTTCCCAAGTTTTGACTGACGGGATCTACATCTTCTTTCTTTAGGAAAAGAGGTTCATGTAGTTAAAATCCACACAAACTCAGCAATGCCAGATAGATGAATGTTTCATGCTCTGGGCCATCAGTTCAAATGGAAAAGTCAAAGTATTACCTTTATTTATATGTTGATGCTAGAAAACAAGTTTGCAATATC